GGTGCGAGAGGTAGTTGTGGGGTTTGCTGGCATACTCAGCATGCAGGCACGGCAGCGACCACATGAGAGACACCTGCTGCTGCGCTGCTGCCACCTGCTGCGAGTGCCACTCTCACCGTGCCTTGTGAGTCTCACCATGGCCAATGAGGTGCGAGAGGTAGTCGTGGGGTTTGCTGGCATACTCAGCATGCAGGCACGGCAGAGTCCACATGAGAGACACCTGCTGCTGCTCCTTCACACTCGCCACTTCATACAGCCGCCCCGCCTCCCACACCCCCTTCCACTGGCCCCCATCCCCAGCCTCCTCCTCTGCACCTGCTTTCTCCCCCTCATTTCCCCCAATTGCTGGACCATCGCCCTTGTTCGCTGTGCCTTCACTCGCCCTTTTTGCTGCCAAGTCCTCCCCAGCAGCTGTAGCATCAGTGGCAGCAGTGGATACTTCTGAAACTGCTCTGCTCCCCGCCTTCACTGCTGCCAGCGGTCCCTTCTTCCCTGCAGCAGCACCCACAGCACCAGTACCACCAGCACCAGCAGCAGTACCAGCAGCAGCAGCAGCAGCAGCACTGCCAGCACCGCCCCCTCCCACGACCTCCCCTGTCCCCCCTTCCTCCTGCTCCATCCCAGCACCCGGCCCGAGCATTTCGGAGTCCTGGGAGGGAGCGGAGAAGGTGGCAGGCGGGGGCAGCTGGTGCAGCAGCGGGTGAATGCCGTCCCCTCCTGGGGGGATGGGCGAAAACAGCTCCCTCACCCATGCTTCTAGCGTGTCTAGGGGTTCTGGAGGAGGGCAGATGGCATGAGAGGGGGAGAAACGGTAGTGGGTGAGACAGGAGAGGAGAAGGGGAGGTAAGAGTTCTGTGTGCGGCCGATTTTCTCCCTCATCGGCCCTCCAACCCACCAGCACCCGGCCCGAGCATTTCGGAGTCCTGGGAGGGAGCGGAGAAGGTGGCAGGCGGGGGCAGCTGGTGCAGCAGCGGGTGAATGCTGTCCCCTCCTGGGGGGATGGGCGAAAACAGCTCCCTCACCCATGCTTCTAGCGTGTCGAGAGGTTCTGGTGGCAGGGGTGGGAGAAAGAAAGAGAGAGAGAGGGGGACGGAAGGGAGGAGACGCGAGGAAAAGGGAGGTAAGAGTCTTGTGTGCGGTCGCACTTCTCCCCATCTACCCTACGCTCCGGCACCACCACCACCAGCAGCACCCGGACCCAGCATTTCGGAGTCCTGAAAGGGCGCAGAGAAGGTGGCGTGGCAGGGGAGGGCAGATGGTGCAGCAGCGGGTATGCCGCTTCTTCCACCCACACTGCTGGTGGAGGGATGCGCGAGAAAGCTCCCTCACCCACGTTTCAGTGTGTCTAGGGCTCCAGTGGAATAGTTTTTTTGAAAAATCTCAAAAACTGGTAATGGTAATGGTAATGGTAGTGGTAATGGTAATGGTAGTGGTAGTGGTAATGATAATGATAATGGTAGTGAGTGGTATTGATAGTGGTAATGGAAATGATAAAGGTAGTGGTAATGGTAATGGTAAAGATAGAGCTAATGGTAATGGTATTGGTATTGGTAATGGTAATGGTAATGGTAATGATATTGGTAATGGTAATGGAAAAGGTAGTGGTAATGGTAATGGTAAAGGTAGTGCTAATGGAAATGGTAATGGTAATGGTAGTGCTAATAGTAATAGTAATGGTAGTGCTAATGGTAATGGTAATAGTAGTGCTAATAGTAATGGTAATGGTAGTGCTAATGGTCATGGTAATGGTACTGCTATTGGTAATGATAATGGTACTGCTAATGGTAATGGTAATGGTACTGCTAATAGTAATAGTAATACTAATGGTAATGGTAATGGTACTGCTAACGGTAATGGTAATGGTAGTGCTAATGGTAATGGTAATGCTAATGGTAATGGGAATGGTAGTGCTAACGGTAATGGTAATGATAGTGCTAATGGTAATGGTAGTGCTGATGGTAATGGTAATGGTAGTGGTAATGGTAATGGTAATGGTAATGGTAGTGCTAATAGCAATGGTTATGGTAGTGGTAATGGTAATGGTAATGGTAGTGGTAATGGTAATGGTAATGGTAGTGGTAATGGTAATAGTAATGGTAGTGGTAATGGTAATGATAATGGTAGTGGTAATGGTAATGGTAGTGGTAATGGCAATGGAATGGTAGTGCTAATGGTAATGGCAATGGTAGTGCTAATGGTAATGGTAATAGTAATGGTAATGGTAATGATAATGGTAATGGTAATGGTAGTGGTAATGGTAATGGTAATGGTAGTGGTAATGGTAATAGTAATGGTAGTGGTAATGGTAATGGTAGTGGTAATGATAATGGTAATGGTAGTGCTATTGGTAATGGTAATGGCAGTGCTATTGGTAATGGTAATGGTAATGGTAATGGTAATGGTAATAGTAATGGTAATGGTAATGATAATGGTAATGGTAATGGTAGTGGTAATGGTAATGGTAATGGTAGTGGTAATGGTAATAGTAATGGTAGTGGTAATGGTAATGGTAGTGGTAATGATAATGGTAATGGTAGTGCTATTGGTAATGGTAATGGCAGTGCTATTGGTAATGGTAATGGCAGTGGTAATAGTAATGGTAATGGTAGTGCTAATGGTAATGGTAATGGTAGTGCTAATGGTAATTGGAATGGCAGTGGTAATAGTAATGGTAATGGTAGTGCTAATGGTAATGGTAATGGTAGTGCTAAAGATAATGGTAATGGTAATGGTAGTGCTAATGGTAATGGTAATGAAGTGGCGGAAGAGTTTTTTGAGGAAAAAAAAAAAACGTTTCCAGCGTGTCTAGGGGCTCTGTAGGAGTGGTGGAAGAGAGAAGGAAAGAGCCCCTAGACACGCTGAGAGAAGGGGGAGAGGGGAGGAGAAGGGAGTTGAGAGACCTATGTGCGGCCACTCTTCTCCCCCATTGTTGCAAGTGGCAGGCACAAATGCATGCACACGCGCACACTCCCAAACCCCATAACGACACATGTCCACACCTGTACCTGCTGCACGCGGCACAACCACACCACACCGCACCGCACCCACCCAACCCCCAAACACCAGCACTCACCTCCGCCCACCACGACCAGCCTCATCGCCCCCGCTGTGTAGAACAGCGAGTAGAGCTGCAGCAGCCTCTCGCGCATGTCCACTCCGAGCTTGGCGGGGTCGTCTATTAAACTCTTGCGGTTGCCCCAGGAGAACTTGCGGAAGGGGTGGTTGGGGTGCACGCACGTGTAGCACTGCAGCTGCTGCACCCGGCACACATCGCTCTGCAAGCTGATGTTGAACTCTGGGAATGAGGTTATGGGGGGAAATGGGAGGTGAGAGAAGGGGGGGTATAGCCTATAGGTAAGGGGTTGGCGAAAGGAGGGGGATCTTGTGCATGCACATGAAAAAGGATCAAAGGCATGCATCTAATCGACAGGATCCAGTCAACACAAGTCAAACGCAAGTCAACGGGGGTCAACAGCGGTCAACTCACCAGAATCCACAGCCTGCACCTCCCTCTCCATGGCATCTGCCTTCACCAGCGGTGCCACAAAGAACTGCGCAAACCTGAAGGGCAGATGTAAGGCGGGGGTGGGGGGGAGACGGAAGTAAGAAATGGGAGTGAACGCAAGTCAAGAGCCTCAGATGTACAGATGTATATGCTCCCTGTGAGGTGCCTCAGGAGCCCACTCACGTGCAGGTACTTGTGTGCGGCGTCAAAGTGGTAGCACGTGAACTCTGTCTCTGTGAACGTGTTGGAGTCGGAGGAGAGGTATGTATCTGGAGCTCAGTCGTTTCACCTGGAGTTAGTGCACTGCTCGGTGAAAAAAGGAGTGTTTTGAGACGTCTCAAAACACTGCTCGGTTCACCTGGAGTTAGTGCCTTTTGAGTCGACTCAAAAGTCACCTTGGAGCTCGGTTCACCTGGAGTTAGCAGTGCACACTTGAAGCTCACATTGTGACGCGACCTGGAATCTTCTCCTTACCTGTCAAGAGCAGGGTGCAGGTACTTGTGTGCCACGTCAAAGTGGTAGCACGTGAACTCTGTCTCCGTGAACGCGTTGGAACCACCACCATGCCGCCTCAGAAACGAGTCATACTGCAAGGGCAGGCGTGTATGTGCGGGTGGGATGGGGGAAGGAAAGGGGGGAAAGTTGGGTTAGAGGGGGAGGGTATGCTCTGTATGTGAGGCGGAACGGTGTTTCACAGGGTTCAGGGTTCTAGTGTTCCAAGGTCAAGGGGTCAGGGTTCAGGATTCAGACGGTCTATTGAAGTTCAAGGCTTAGGTTTCAGGGTCAGAATTTAGGGTTCAGGGGTCAGGCTTCAAGGTTCAGGGTTTCAGAAGCGTCAAAGCATGTGCCCATGAATCTCAGGGTGTAAAGGTTGCCATTCAAGGTTTCCGGCCTCACCTCGTTTTCGTCAGGAAACTTGACGCTTCCCATGAAGAGCATGTGCTCTGCAGTATGAAGTAGCGAGGGCGGGAGGGAGGGCGGAAGGGAGGGAGGAGAGGGCATGTGAAACACCTAAGCATCGTTTTCGTCAGGAAACTTGACGCTGCCCATGAAGAGCATGTGCTCTGCAGGACGAGGGTGGGTGGGAGGAAGGGAGGTGAGGGGAGCGGGGGAGAGTGGGGGGGGACGGAATGCGAAACGCCTCAAGAAACCCATCGTTTTTTTCTCAGAAAATTGAGACTAGACGTGAAAAGCATGTGCAGGGGAACTGAAAGCACCCTCGTTCAAACCGGAAACCCTGCGCGAGTGTACATCTTCCGGCCAAGTTTTGAGTGTACTCAAAACACACCAGGAGAGTGTGCACGGTACAACTACTGACCAAGGAAATGTGCGAGGCCGAGAGCATCGGGAGGATCCAGGAAGCTTCCCACGCCCACGCACATGGCGGCTGCTGCCAGCTGGAAGAGATTGGGTGGGGAGGGGTGTGGAGGGGAGAGACAAGGATGGAGACAGGCGATAAAGGGGTGGGGGGGGGTTGGTGCAGAAGGCAGGCACGTTAAGAAGGAGGACTAAAGAGAGGCGCAGGCAGAGAGGAAGAGGCAGAGAGGCAGAGAAGGAGGAGGGGAGGGACGGTGTGAGGGAAGACGTGTGTGGGGAGGAGGGAAAGATGGGGAATAGGAAGAATTGGCACCTTCTTTGCTGCTCCTGGTTGATCATCATCATCATCCTCATCCTCCTCATCCTCCTCCTCATCAGAATCATCCTCGTCTTCCTCTTCACCATCCTCATATTCCTCCTCCTCTCCACTCTCCATCTCCTCCTCTTCACGACCCTCCTCCCCCTCGTCCGCCCCTCCTCCCACCGCCCCTTTCCCTGTACCCCTCTCCCCAGCCTTCCCCTTCCGCCCCAAACCACCGCCACCCAGCCTAATCCCCCCCACTTTCTTCCGCTTTCCCCCAACCTTCCCCTCCCCGCCCGTCGTCTCACTCCCTACTGCCGCCACCTTGCCTCCCTTACCCTTACCATCCCCCTTTCCTCCGACCACCTTTGCCCTTTCCTCCTCTGTTCCGCCATTGTCCGCTTCCCCCCCCTCAACTTCCTCCTCCTCACTCGCTGTTTCCCAATCGCTATCCTCACCCTCGTTATCATCACCTCCCTTCCCCCCTTTACTAGCACCTTTCCGGCCCTTAGACTTCCCACCCTTACCCCCTTTTTCCCCCTTCCCCCCCTTCCCCTTTCCGCTGCTTTTTGCCCCATCTCCGCTTCCCCCAGCCTCAACCACACTCATTTCCTCATCACTCTCCTCACTCTCGATCTCATCCTCTTCATCCTCCTCTTCATCATCGTCCTCATCATCCTCTCCTGACGCAGCAATCTCAGGGTCGTAGATTAACAGGGTAATTAACCCATTGGGGAGCGTCACCATCCGGTATGCCTTCTTATCCTCCTCAGATTTCACGATCTCGGGATCGTGACCGTTGGATAGCGACGCGTCCGCGTCGCCCTGCATGTTTGACTGATCCACCTGGACATTGTCTACCATGTCCACGTCAGCATCCGCTACACGTGGACCTCCCAATTCCGCCATGGCTGACACGTGGCAACCAAGCGCAGAAGTTAGTGTTTCGCGCCGTTGATTTCTTCTCCGACGGTGTCCACACGAGGATAACCGACTCGGAAACGAATAGCTCTGTGACGATAAGCGAAATGTCTGACGACTTCTGGGAGATCGGGTTACCAATGAACAGCTTCCCGCGAATTTGCCCGCCAACGCGGTGGTTTCGGGTCGTAGGTTGTTCAGGTATTCTGCGGAATCATGTGCGGGACTCGCGGAGATCAGCAGTCTCGCGGAGATCAGCAGTCTCGCGGATTGCGGAGCTGGTGACAATGCAACGGCTCCGTACATCCGACTCTCGCGACGGGCCGCGAACCAACCGAAGAGGGAATCCGCGATCCAAATGAGCTGAACTCGATATACATAAGCTTGATAAAGGGAACTGATAGAATAGTTGGGATTCTGTAATGCACCCGCCTCACAGCGCGGAACGGAAAGCCAATGCGCAGGAAGGTGAATGCCAGAAAAACTGGCGAGATAAAGAAGGGTGGTCGGGTTGGGGGTGGTGTTTCATCTGGTGCGGTAGCTGGTCTTGACTCTGACCCTTTGGGTTCAAAACTGCTTGCTTCGATTTTCTTTACAGTTGATTTGTCAGGCGGCATTTGTACACTCCGAAAGTTGTGCTCGCAGACGAATATGGAATGGATTTTGCAATTTGTGGCAGGGGGAATCTGCGGGGCTGGGATGTGGGCTTTTCTGGCGTTTTCCCTCGGTGAGGCGGGGGGTCGCACGAAGGGACTGACGAAGACTGGCGACTGCTGTCGCACTAGTGGTCCGTGATTCGAAGTTCGCGAAGGCCAGCTAGCAAGTACCCTGCGCCAGAGCTGACCTGGAGCTTTTTGTTTGAACCCCCCTGGTTGATGTTGGGGAACGAACCGTGATGAAACCAAAACTCAACGGTGGGTGACTAATCCATATGAACCGAAGTCTTAATCTTCAGAAACTTTTTCAACCGTTTTTAACAGTGCCGAATGCCAAACAGCAATCTCAAAACCGTGCTCACTTCCATAAACTCCCTTCCATTCGGCCCTCTATCCCTGGCTCCCCGCCCCACGTTCCACCAACGCTTGGCGGAGCTGTTCCCCTCCCCAGCGCGCTGTTCCCGCCCGATTGGGTCTGAGCCCTGCAGGGTCCCAGCCAAACGCCACCAGAATTTTCAAGATCATGCCGATTTGTGGGAGCTTGCTGGAGCGGGGCATGCGTATCGGACCGCCCACGAGGAGTTGGCGGGAGGGTTTCCTCGCCATACCATACCCATCCAGTTTCCGCTCGTGTTGTCCCCATGATGATGTGATGGTATCGAGTACTTGATCGACTCGACCCTCAGGATTTTCGAAGTTCAGGGAGAGGGGCCAAAGGTCGAGGAAATGGGGGAGGGGAAGTGGGAGGGGTATTGCGGAAGGACCGCGAGTTGGTTGGATGGATGGTTGGGGGATGGGGGACTTCTCCGAAAAGGATGCGGAGCGGACGGAGCTTCGGGAACAGCAGGACGATGACTGGTTGGTGCGCAACTTTTTCTAACATTTTGTATACCTTTGTACCGCACTAAACCCCTGTCAGGGGAGCATTCAGCCTGGCGTGCCTGGCGAAGTGACGCCAGGAGTATAAATAGGACGAGCCAGCCGTTTCTTTTGGTAGGGTTTGCTTCTCTCCCAGCAAGAGACAGCTTAGAGCTTCAGCTCAGCTGCCTGCTAAGGACGAGACGGCCTCTGATTAACCACGCGCTACGTCACGTCACGCCGTGTTCCTACAGGAGCGGCGGCGGCGGCGGCGCAGCGGCGGCAGCGAAAGAAAATAAGAAAATCGTCGTTAAAAAACTGCCGCTACGGCATCGCGAGCTGAGCTGATAGGGAAAGAACGGCTGACGGAGGTTGACCTAATTCTCTTAGGATAGGCTGATCTTTCTTGGTCAAGCGAGACTCCTTGCCCTAATCTGGCCGTCTGGGAGAAAACGTAATCGGCACTCAAGCGCGGTACTTAGAGCGAGGTAGAAAGCTATCTCGCGGATCTCGCCATTAACGACAGTTCTGATTTGGCTACAAAATAGATTCAGTACAGATTCGATTCTGCTTCGATGCTGATTTGCTGATTTGATTTTGATGCGCGAGGTCCAACGGGAAGCGGTCCTGGAATTCGGCCTGTACGCGACGCTTCGCTCTCCTCATCGGTCGCTGCTTCCTCGCGTCGCGTCACACTCTTGCTACGGGACTCGGGAGCGATCGCGCGTTCCGGTCATCGCTGCCGCAATGCCCTAATTCCGCATTGTGCTATAATCCTCGGCTAGCTGTTCGGCGAAGCGGTATCAATTTTGCGTCTCGAAGCGGTTTTACGTCACGGCCGTTTTGGCGTCGGCACCGCAGGAGCCGGAAGAGGCGAAACCCGAAACGATTTGCCTCTGAAGCCTATCGGAGAAGGGACGTATCGCAGCCGCTGCAACTGCAGCCGCAACGGTCACTGCCGCTGATCGCCGAAGCGAAAGTCAACGACAGCCGAAGCTCCTGCTATCGAAGCCCTCACTATCGGAACTCCAGGTCACTGAGTCCAATGAGTTTCTCCCGCCGGTGACCTTTCGCGCGTCCAGCAGGCGCCGATTGGGTGATTGCGATCGCCATGTCTCGCTGCTGGCCGTACCCCCCGCCGGGGTTCCAGAAGAAGCCTCGGGATCCGTCTCTAAGCGTTCCGAAGGTAATCCCAAGGGGAATGGGACGTATGGGGAAAATCGAGGTGACTTCTGAGTGTACCTTGGGATTCGTCGTCAAGCGTCCCTGAGGTAATGTTAAGGTAATGGAACGCATGGGGAAGGCGTGGTGGTTGAGGATGGAATGTTTCAGGGGATTGGGCTATTCGAATCGGTCTGGTGCGGTGACGTGTTCAAGGCGAGCGGCGGCCGTTGAGCTAATTCCGATATTTAATATTCTCAAACGTCTTTTTCGAGATGGGTGATGCCGCATTTTGCTTTTTGGAATGCCGTCCCGAAACATAATATGGGATGCTTTTACTTCCCAGTCGTCCGTGTTGCTTCATCGTTGCGTTTAGGTTTCTTTTACCACGGATCGAGATGCTGCTTAACGTTTTCGGTAAACTTTTCCTATGTGACACCATTGTTCAGGATGTAGAGATCTCGGAAAATCGTAAATATGTTTTACCCTTTCCGATCATCAGACATTTTCTTGTCCGCTCACCCCGCATGTCCGGCCTTTGCTCCCTACCAGGAGACGAGATCGGAGGGGAAGGATAAGGATCGAGACAAGGATAAGAAAAAGAAGAAGAAGAAGCGGCATAGGGAAGGGGGCGAGGGGGAAGACAAGGAGGAACGGAAGCGGCGCAAGGAGGAGAAGAAGCGGGCCAAGGAGTTAAAAGAGTCCAAGGATTCTAAAGAGCCGAAGGACAAGGAACATAAGGATAAGGACACTAAGGATAAGGATTCTAAGGATAAGGATTCTAAGGATAGAGAATCTAAGGAGCACCAGAAGCAGTCTTATGAGGACTCGGCGCGCAAGGAGAAGGATGGGGACACGGATAGGGCGAAGGGCGGGGAGAAAGAGAAGGGTGAAAAAGGGGAGGGTTTGCGTTTGGAGACGTCTCGGAAAGAGGAGAAGAGCAAGGGAGAGAAGGGTGAGGGTTTGGGTCTTGAGGCGTCTCAAAAGGAAGAGAAGATTAAAAGCAAGGGGGGTGAGAGTGAGGGTTTCGGGAAAGAAAAGGATGAGGGTGGGAAGGAGAAGAATGAATTGCGGAAAGAGGTTGGGAAGGAGGAGGGGCACGTGGGGAAGGCGAGTGGAGAGGGGAAGGAGGGGAAGGAAGGGCAGGGAAAGGACGAGAAGAGGAAGGAGGAGAAAAAGGAGGGGAATAAGGAGGAGAGAAAGAAAGAGGAGAAGAGAAAGGAGGATAAGCATAAGGATGAGAAGAGGAAGGAGGAGAGGCACAAGGAGAAGGAGAAGCGAAGGGAGGAGAAGCGGCGAGACGAGAAGCACCGAGACAAGCACAAAGGTCGGTCGGTCGGCCTTGTCTATTGACCATCTCTCAGCTTATGCTAATCCATTCCAGTTTCCCGCTCCCATGTGACTGTTTCATTCTGTCCCATGGTTTTATTCAGGTTTCAAGCTGCCGCTGTTCCGTTGTGCCACTCCTCCCTGTTCCCCTCCTGCCCGCACTGCCACAGACAAGAAGCAGGACCGCAAGGCCGTGCCTCAAGGCATGCCCAATGGGGAGAACGGCATTCCCTGTGCTCCTGCCCCCCCTGATACACGTGGCGTCAATGCATTGGACACACGTGGCACTAACGCATTGGAGCCACGTGGCGTTAACGCAGTGGACACACGTGGCACCAGCGCTGCTGACGCACGCGCTTCCAGCAAGCAGGAAAAGCAAGATACGCGTGCTTCTCAGCAGCAGCAACAGGACACGCGACCTTCTGCAACCCTAAACGAACGGATCTCCAAATCAACGGACGGCAGCGCTCGGGATCTCAGCTCAGCACCAGGCGCGCCCAAGCCGCTGCACGGGTCCATCTCAACCCCTGATCTCCGGGCAGGTCAAGAACAACGGCTGCGATCGTCCGACAGCCGGGGGCATCACGATTCGAAATCAGAGGACGTGAGACTGGGGAACGGGAGGGGGAAGGTGAGGAGAGAGACGGAGGGGACTGATAGGGAAAGGCAGGAGAGGAGAGAGGGAAAGGGAAGGCCGGGAGAAGGAGGGCAGGTTTCCTCAGGTGCTGCTGTGAGAGCAGCATCAGAACCTTGTAAACCTGGGGGGAAGCCGGGGTTAGAGGAGATGAGAGATGTCCAATCTGCAGCGGATCTGAGAGGAACGGGAGCGCGAGGAGCTCCTGCTGCTGCTGCTTCTGCTGCTGCGCCTGCCACTACTGCAGTGTCCCCATTAGGTGGAAGCATTGCAACCTCCGTAGCCGCTGCAGCCGCTGCCGCACCGGGCGTGGGTGGAGTTGGAGAAAAACTTGGAGAGAAACGAGCGGG